GTTGCTTCAAGAGATTTTCATGAGTATGGAAATGATTGAAGAGTGTGGAAATAGTTGAGAATTCAGTTACATTGTATGAGAGACTGACTTTGAACCTCATACTGATGGTAGAAAGCGATCTAACATATACCTCATGGACTATAGGCCACGTGAAAGTAGGATTCTACACAGTTCATGATATTTACAGAGAGATAAATCTGTATATTCTGCATTTATTAAAGTAAAGTACACTTTATAATAGAAAATAATTATTTTTTAATATGACATTTAGTCTATTTTTCAAGCGATAAATCTTATCGATAAACTTGCATAAACAAAAGAAATTAGCCAATAATCGAAATAAATCGAAAGTGAGTGATTTTTCCCTTATTAGTTATAAAATTCAAATTATCATCCAATCATCAGCGAGATGTGCGCGCAATCTATTTTAGTTATATGTATCAAAAGTATGTACTAATATGATTCGTCCTGTGCAAATAAAATATACGTAGGAGGTTTGCAGAAATTAATCTCGTAATTATCGGTGATGAGTAATCGAGAGGAAGCTGAGAAGACTGCTGATAACTGCTGGAGGCAATTGAGAGGTTAAAGGCCAGTATTGGCTGCATGTGGTCTTGGTGGTATTGGCAAGTACAGAAAATAAAACAATCTTCGTACAGTGAATCGAGGTAACGCCAAGGTGTTATGCCTTAGGCATTGATATAACGGTGACGTCCAGGTCACCACTGGCCTCCTTTTTGGCTTATCTTCTTTTCCTTTCTCTTGAATCACTTCTTCATCGTCTTACTCTCTTCTTGAAACTTTGAAGATTCGAATAACTGTTAATGTTCTTATGTACAGAGACTAGCTCCAAACTCCTGTCTTTATAATAAATAAAACAACTTAACATACTCAACTTTGGAAATTTCCAATGATGATGACAGTCATTCAATGAGCATTTTATATGAGCTAAAATATCGATGATGGTTACTATTCTCAAGAGAAAACGTGAGATAACATTTTTATGACTAGGAGATATTATCATAATCTTACGTAAGACAATTTTAATCTTTTTTTCACTTCTTTTTATCTTTAAATATAAAATGGTGTTTTTTTTATGTTGACGAACGGTCTGCGGTGAACCACTTGGATTTTATTTCTTCCCAGTTTCATTTCAAGATAGACGTGATGGTGCACCTGCTGGATCTTGGCTATCTAGAGCCGCGTGGGTAGGTGAATGAGCGCAACAGAGAGATGAGCAAAGTCGTTTTTTTGCTAGCCAGATGTTGGTTTTTATTTTTTCTAAATAATTCTTTTCATTACAAATGTCAATAAACCTAACATTTTCTATTACATTTATAATTATTTCATGAATATAAATATTTCATTTATTTTTAAATTATATTTCAGGTCTGATGTTATTAACACTTTCAAGAATGTGTTTATATTTACTATTTTCTCTCAATGTTTTAATAATATTTATAAAAAATTCATGAATAGAAAATTTTTTAAAATTATTTAAATATCCAGGAATCTAAAAATTTCATTTATTCCGGAAATGGGTCAGAGATGAGTTCATTCTTGGAATTATAATCTTCATCGTTACGAATTCTAAAGATTCTGAAAACTCGATGTGACATTAGTGGCTCTTGGAAATGTCGGGAAAAGACTCTGAATCATCAGTATAGATGTAATATCAAGAACAGGAAACATAAGTAGGATTTAGTAAAGACATAAAGTCAATCCTTGATTATAATAGTCACTTTATTATTCAGGTAATAAACTAAAATAAGCTTATTTATTATTTGACTGCTAATTACTAATAACAGTAGTCACGAATATATTGTTTTTATTTATCTAGACACATGTACATAAACCAAAGATGGAAAAAGTTGACTGTTCACTGGAGGCAAGCAGTATCTATACCATATAGAAACAGCCGGACGAGTTTTACTGACGATAAAATTCCACAAAGCATCTACGGAGAGCCTTTGCAAATTTACTATCCCCTTCTACCTATATTCCTACGAACTACGATCATGCACTGTGCGAATTTGCATTGTACATCCTTTTTCGCTTTCTTTCTTTTGCAATTTATATCAAGAGAAAGAACATCGACCTGAAGACATAAAGTATTTCCTTACACGCACATCAACCAAATTTTTTCCACCATGTAAAATTAATATTTATCGCTAATAAAAAATATCAAATAAATTTAATTATTTAGAGGCTTAAAAATGAGGATAAATTAGATAAAAATTACATGGTTGGATTCAGCCTCTTGTCTATCAGGTGACTTGTCTGCTTGTCAGTTAGCAGAAGCGGTGGTCAAGTGTACAGAAAGACCTGACGTAGCAGATGACAAAGCAAGAACGAGTACTACAGTGTAGTTGATAGGATAAGAAGAAAGATTCATCATTCACTTCTGGTTTCGCATACTATGCCACTTGTTTACACACGTATGTTCGACCCAAGTCGGATGTCAACGGACGTTTGAATAAAGTAAATGAACATTTTCTTCAGCTACCTTGCAATCCAGAGGAAGTTTGGTTTCCGCAGAGCTGTGTTAATGAATCGAGCTAAATGGTGTGAGAGTAATAAGTAACTGAATAAAACGTGTAATAAGTCAAGGTACGTGATCCGAAACGAAAAATCATGAATAAAGATTGTAGATTACATATTTTTATATTTATACACTACTCTACATATTATATATTAATTTTATTCTTGAATTAATAACATTCTATTGCTACTTGTAAATTATATTTTAATGTCAGATAAAACAGCTGTATTAAGTTAAATTGTTAACTGATAATGATTAATTTTTAGTTAAATAAGGTGTGCATGCATTTCACTAGTTATTTTGTTAAATGTTTTCCATGTTGCATTGCAGGTTCCACGACAGATATTGTCTGGTTTTACTCTAAAAATGACTGGTTATGAGCTAGTGAATAATTTAGAAGCATGAACTGATGGAGAAAAGAAAATAAAAGTATCTATATGTGAATGGCTGGGTATGAATCGCTCGTTTGTCAAGAATATTGAAGGTAGGTGGATTTAAGAGCATATATTTGATTTGAGAATTATGAAGGTAAATGCTTGACAATAAGCTTCATTAACAACTTTCATTCGGACTTTATATAAACTATTATTTAGGTGGCATCGCGTGTTTATTCAAACGCTGGGATTTAAATATTACAAAAGTGTAAATGCATTCAATATAATAACTACTACAAATTGTTATCAATTTGTTATTTTATGCATTACGCTTTACTAAAGGATATTATTTAAAAAAATAATTGGTTGTGTTTATGTTATGAAAAAGAAATATTGATGAAAAAAAAAACGTTTGAATTATAGAGTAGAAATGTGAATTGAAATTTTAATTTGCAATTTACTTTTCATTTTATTAAGCCTTTAGCAATTGACATATTTCTCTCTGAACGTTTAACGGTAATTTTGAATATTAATACCAAATAATTATTTTTATACTCAGTTGTATCTAATTATTTTCCAGAGTCAATGAAGGGGAAAAAGTAGGTATTATTAGTGGAATGAATTTTCTTGAAATCAATCATCGAAGTGATGATACACAACTCGTCTCATCTTGAAGTCATTGAGTAAAACAACACACTAAGCACGATTCTATCTCTGAGAAGTCACGGTACTCATCATAATGCAATTAGTGTAACCGTGCGTTGGTGTATCCGGAAAGAAAAGCATTGAATGCTGCTGGAGCCAAGTTGAGCTTCGGAATTGCAAGAAAAGACGTGTGGCCCGCGAGGTATATCATTTGCATTAGCTTCTATAACGTTGGCATTTTTCTTACTAGCAGATCTGTAACGCATGGCTGAGCTGACAGTACAGAGTTCCAAGTGGGATGTAGACTTATATAAAACTCGTTGGTATTATATTATTTATAAAGTCGCTACCGAAACGAAACGAGTTGGCATGAAATTCAAAGATAATAATCATTGCCTATCACTCATAACATTTTTCATCATTTCACTTTTTTTTTGAATTATTTTTAAATTAATGAAAAATCATCATTATTTTTATATTTTGTAAATTTGACATTAATTCATAAATTAAGTTGCTGGAAGATAGCTGCCAAGAATTTCGAAGAATCGCCAACGGCATAAGAAGTCTGCTCTCTGAATATAAAGTAAAAGGATAATTGATGATCAATATGATAGTATTATAAAGAGTAGCCTTACAAGCTTTAAAGTATATATTCTGTAAGCTAGAACCAAAAAAAAAATAAGTTAAAGAAAATAAATGAAAACACAACCAGCTTGTAAATACCTACGCGCAGACTGCAATCTGAAGTTTGCATTATCCAGTTGTAGTTTTACAGAGTTTGTGTAGCGCAAAGGACCATGTGAACGGAAACGACACGCGCCGGAACACTACAGAACTGATAAGACCTATCCGGACAACATTGCGAAACATAATATTTATGCGAGGGTCGATGGTTCATCGTGATGTTACCAGTTTTAGTTGGTCCACAGAGTTCGCAAGAGGAAACGATGTGGATGTACAGCATCGTCCTGGCATAACGGAGATCTATGTTAGCTTCTCTAGTATCAATAAAGAATTATTGCAATACAAGACCTATAATCAGCTGCAAGAGTTCAGAACTTTATAGCTTATTGCTTGAAAATTTTTTTACGATTTATTATTTCTATACTCGAATAACATACTTTCTTATTTTTGAAAGCCTGATACTTTTATCATTCATTTAAGCATTTAATAAAAGAGATTACATGGATTCACTTGATTTTAAAATAGAAACATTTTATTACACTGAGTGTATTCGTTGTCATGTTGCTTAGATGTAAATAATTAAGATTAGTGATTGTAGTAAAATATTCTGATCGTGCTCAAGGTGATCTACGCTCAATACACGTTACACTTGAAAGATATATATAGATTTTATTCAAACAATATTATAGCGACGATTATTAGAAGTAAAGGAGTCAATATAAACAAGTAATTAATAATGAAAACATTTCACTCACCATGACTGAAAATATTAATTCCTATACGGCATGACTTTATGAGCAAGGTTACAGTACCATTCCGGTCATCACAGTAGACACAGTAAACCACAAATCACTATTCACACATTTAATTTATCAAATATAAACTGTAATTTTGTAATCCGACGTGCGCGTAAAAACCACAGAGCGCGATTCCACCTCGATGTCGAGTAAACTGTAATTTTTTTAACATAAAAATTAATTTATTGGTTAATTTAAATTGTAAATATTGTTTTTTTTTTAATTTGTGACTCGTGTGAATAATAAAAGTAAACTCAAGATGGACAATTGGATACGTTTTAATAATCCCAGAAAAGGGAGAGGACAATATTACGATAATCGCAATTCAAATCGTTTTGAAACTTTACTCATCAGGCCAGGAGATGTGGTGAATTTTCAACCTGGCAGGCAACGACTGAGCTTTAGACCGGCAGGTAGGTGAGCTGTTGCCCCTCCACCTTTGTAAACCAACCGCTAACCATTCTCCATTCTCTTTCCCTTCGCTTTACTTCTCTTTACTGTACTCTTCCCTTTTTACGCACCTTAACTTACTTGCGACCTGTTCGACCGATATAACGTTTAAATAATGACAGGTAGTGAACTTATTCTTCAACCAAAAGAAAAATAATCTGTGAAATAATTCCATATTTATTAGTTGTATTTTATTGTAAAAAGTCATTGATTCTTATTTAGTTGACAGCAACATTTTCTTCTTCATTATCTGAATCAACTTCACTCGCTTCTTCAACAAGATATTTTGAAAAATTTACGCTCAATAATTCTGTAGTAGGATAGCTTTCTATTGATGCTCTAAAATTTATTGTCAAATCAAATTTTTAGTCTCAGTTTTTGTACAAATGAAAATTGAATAAATGATATTATTTACTGTTACCTGAAGATAAAGTCACCATCTCTTTTAGGTCTAGATTTTTCTACATCCTTGATAACAGCAACAAAATTTTCTTCTAACTGTTTTACATCCATATTTAGCTATATAATGGAAAATGGATCATTGATTATCATTCATAAAATAATACTGATAAATATACATTATCTACATACACGACCAAAAAGAATAGTTCCAGTTCCATATTGTAATTGACGTTCATGGGGTCTAATTTCGTATTTTATACCATGAAGTATTTTTTTGATTAATTGAGGTAAATCGAACCCAAGAGTACCTTTAAAAATGTTTTGTATTGGCTTTTGATATCATTTCAAAAATATCTGACCATAAGAGTATCAAGATGAATTCAAAAAATTGTTATATACCTCCACGTGGGCTTGGATACTTTCGTTTCATTAAACCTTTAATCACTGATAATTCTGTCATTATATCAGGATGTGCAACAGCATAATCATAATCAGCAATAGGAATTACTCCGGTCTGGAGAAAGGTTTGTATAAATAAAATGGATCGTTGAAGACAGAAAAAATCGTTGATTTAAAAATTAATTACTTGAATATTTTTAATGAGCTGTAGACCACCTGAGATTGATGCTCCAGCTTTATCAGCTAATTCAGCTAACTTGGGATCATTACAGAATGCAACAATTGTCCTTTTTTCACCATGATCGAATGGATGTGGTATATCAACGGTTCTTGCAAATTTCTCTACCATTTTAGTTGGTTTTGGACCCTAGAAAAATTATGTAAAACAATTTTAAATGGTATTTTTTTATTTTTTAAATATGATATTCAAATATTTAATTTAAAGTAAAGCAATTACCATCATATTAAGTTGTAAAAAAGCATGTACAAAGGCATTCGGTGAATTGTACATGCTAGAGTGATGAGACTGTCGGTGATATTCTATGGCTTCTTCAAAACTATAAATTTTTGGTTGATGAAATGCTTCAATCCAAACATTGTCCACTCGTTCTGGTTTGCTTAGATCATCGCCTCGGCACATTTCAAATGTGAGATTTTCTCTATAAATAAAAATAGAATATAAAATTTCTTATGACCAAAAATTCAAAAATAACGGAAACATCATTAGTTAAAAATATTAATTATAATGTGATACATACTCAACTTTATTTCTAAGTTTTTTTGGGATAAATCCAACTTTTTGAACTTCCTTCTTCACTTTCTTCTTTTTTGCTTTTTCTCGAGTACCTTTCCGGGCAGCATAATATCTTGATTGTGATAGAAGTGGAAGAGATTGAAAACATCCCAAAACAGATTTTTGATACCAGGCAGCACTGATTATATTTAGAGCTTTAACTGCAAAAAAAAAATAATTATTAGACATGAAAATTCAATTTTATGTGATAATTAAATAGTCAAGTTCAATTGTATTTTACATTTCTAGGTAGATTGCAATAAAATATTTTTTAAATTCTCAAAAAATTTGTTCTTTCTAAAAAAATAATAATTGTTGCTGTTTTTAGTCCAAATTTCACGAATTGTCATATTTAATTACTCATAATAAACAAAGAAAACTAAAAAATTATTCTCACCTGCACCGGTTGCTGCCATTTTACAATTTCGTTCTAGTTATTCATAACCACAGAATAAATCACCAAGAAGACAACTTTACGAAAAAAAAATTCTAGTCGGAATTTTATCGAATTTGTCTGCTGTTGATAAATCCGTTATCACTTTTATCAATTAAGGTCATGCGATGTAGTTTGGAAGTCAGCCGCATGGCGTGACAATCTACACAAGCATCTAATGAGACTATTGCAAATCCAATTTTTGCATATTTTATGACGTAGTACAGTTGATAAATGGAGGTTCTGTGTTTGTCAAGGTAGTTTTGTTTACGCGTAATTTTTAGCTTCGAATCAGCTTTTTGTAAATCTTGTGTGAGTTAAAAGGTAGATGAAGGTGTGTAAAAAATTTTACAGATTATCTTTCTATTCACCGGTGTTATATTTTTATTAAGTAGTACAAATTATTGTGTTCCAAATGTTTGTCGTTTCACGATACTTTATCAAGATATCTGTCGTCAAAACAATAATATCTTTGATCATTTATTATGAATGAATTAAAAAATATTGATTACTATTAATAAATACATTATCTATAATTTGAATTGTTTTCTCCCGTATTGTATGATTACAGTTTATGTATTTGTTTGCTGTTGCGCAGGTTATAGATTTCGCGCTTGTTTTAGTTATTCATTGTTTATTTTTGAACAATGTGGTTTATAATATTGTTCTCAGTGTTTGGATAAATAATCGACACTTAAAATTTCTATTGTTCTTCAAGTAGTTCTAAAATTTATATCATTTACACTCACATCTAACCTTAAAATTTCATGTCATGTTCAAGTGGCTAAAATATTCTCTATGATTTTGATAAAAAACTTAAAAATTAATATTTTTTATAATTAATTTTTAAAATATTTATAAAATATCCATCTCCTAATAGCTGAGTAAAAATAATTAGAGACACTTTAAATATCTAGAACTTTCTTTGTAACTTTGTTACAAAAAAAGAACCTGTCATATTTACATAAAATTTTATCATCTTATTTGTTGTTTTATTTTCTGAGAATAATTGACATCAATATAAGTGTATGTTGAAGTTATTTAAACTTATAACCACTTATCATCCTGTTGAAATGAACCTTATGTTTGTTTTTAAATTCATGATTTATTCAATGATTAGAATTATTGTAATTAAATTATTAATGGGTTATAAATGAATTAAACCAAATATGTATTAATGTATAAAATTTTTTTTCAGGATTCAAAATGTCCCGAAATCATAAGGACAAATATGAAAATTCTAATCCGCGTCGTACGCATTCAATTATGTCTACTGAAGATGCAAACTCTGGAAAGAAATCTTATTGGCCGGAGTTGGAGATAACAGGCAGTGTGAAAAATTTAAGTCCTAGCATATGGCAATTGACTCATTTAACAGCCTTGTATTTGAATGATAATAGTTTGCAGAGGATACCACCTGAAATAGGTCGTTTAGTTAATTTGAGAGCCTTAGATCTCAGTAGTAACAAATTACGTAGTTTGCCTGCTGAGTTGGGAGATCTCATCTACCTTAGGTAATATTTTACATATTACTGCTTTCATAAACCAATCGAGGATGAGGCTTTAATTGAATCTAGAAGTTGATTTCTGTCCACTTACTTGAGATTCGTATCTGAACTAAATTTAATACTCTAGATATACTCAAAGTCCACGACTGGATAATTGAATTTGAGTGTAAATCGCTTCGTTCTTCATTGGTTTATGATATCCTTAAACTATCCTTTGACATTCTAATAATTATGAAAACTTTTTGCAGAGAGTTGTTGTTAAATCAGAATTACCTCCGAGTGTTACCGTATGAGTTAGGAAAGTTGTTCCAGTTACAAGTGCTTGGACTTCATGGTAATCCTCTCAGTAAAGAAGTGATGGCACTTTATGGCGAACCATCAGGGACCCACAAGTTGCTGTCCTTCATGCTCGACAATTTACAAGGTTTGTCAATTTATTTCATTACACTAACATTGTTGTTTATACTCATTCTGATTAGTAAACCAATTACTTCAAGTACTGATGCAAGTGTAGGTAAATGTATTGCGCGACTGTACCAGTTAGTAGCCTGAAACTACGTCAGATGTCTCGTGAGGTAGTAAATTCAACTCGATTATAATAAATGAATTTATTAGTCAACAATTCTCATAAAAAGAAATCATAATAATAATAAAATTCTAAACATTTGATTTATTAAGACGAACAGTAGATGTAAGATAATTGTGAATTAATCTGCTGTCTCAGTATAGTAACGCAGGCAATTATAAGGTGGTTCACTGACGTTGACCGTTACGTTTTCTTGTCCATTAAAAGTGCTCTAACCCTTGTGTTACATAAAATCTATCATATGCGGTAGTAGATGTATGCAAGATTCAATTTGCGATGGAGCATATGAGCGTTCAATTTTACGTTGAGGGGATTGAAGTAAATTAGCTGGAGGATACCTACCCCCCACGATCAGTTTAAAGTCATACAAGTCGTGCGTACTAGCATAGCTTTGAGATACGATGGCTTGGCATGGAGCACATTAGTGCCTACATAATTTCATTTCTTTTTTCATTGGGGTCAAGTGGGTGTGCCAAGACGCAAGCGCGGTGGGTGGACGGCGGAACTTCAAGGCTAGGGATGGCGAGAGCCATGTGTACTGAGAGGGAGGGCGTATTTCTCCATTGTATTCAGTGATTTTTGCTCGTTGTACTATTGCTTGAAAGGTCTTGGTTATACTATTCCCTTACTACTCATCCATTGTTCCCTGACTTTTACAATTTGGCCACAGAGCCGCGCCCGTCATCGCCGGGTGAATGTTGTGCGCTCCACTGGAATCACTCGCGCGCATCGTTAAATGTGCCTTCGTCATAGAACTTGTCGACTTTTATATCTTTATCGTTAACAAAATCATACACTCCTTAGCTATGAATCAAACTGTTTCTTTCTTTAATTAAAAAATTTTATCCTGCCTTTTTTATTTTGCTCATTCGAAAATTATCCATGGCATTTCATCTATTGCCTTCAACTCAATGCAAAAGATCCCATGATATTATGATAAAGAAACTTGAAATATTTATACATAGCAACTTTATCATTTAGTCTTTTCATAAAGTTTCTTTCATTCATTAAAAACATCTTTTTTCATATTCATGAGATAAAAATATATTTAAATGGAACTTAAGAACATAAAGATGTTAGTAAGAACATCACATACTTTAGAAATGAAAAGAATAGAAAAAATTTAATAACTTGATCATTATAATGAATAGTTTTAAGCATGCTTTGGACAATTTTTTAATGGTTATCTAAATGACAGTATGGTTTTTATTTAATGTTCAGACATTTGTGAACAAATTATTCCAATATCTCCACTGTTTCTTCAAGTTTTTTGCACTAGTGTCTCATTTGAAATGCAATAGGTTTGCAAGAAGTAATGAGTACCAACGATCTTATGGTTAAAATCTTGACTTTAAGACCTGTAAACGGAAGTTAAGCGGCTTAAATGTGACCTGCAGTTAACGGAGTTCGTATAACTGGGATTTGGCGTTCACTGCTTCAACGCTTGACCCATTTTCACGGCAGCTTGCTCAAGTAACTCTTTTCAGCATCCTATGAATTCTTACAATAGTCCATTCTTATTTTGTCCCCGAGATTTTTTACGGATAAGAATACAAATATACAATACCATATCTCACTATTTGCGTGTAAAAGTGAATAATTGACTGTTATTTTATATTAAAATCTCCAGAATTAGTCTAACAATAATCTAAAAAAGCAGGAAGCTCATCGACTATGACAAATTTGACTGAAGTAACTTTTTTTTTTTGTTATTTATTATTTTTTTTATTGGTCAAAGACTCTTTGAAAGCTTTCTACTTTTATTGGCTTAAGTGAAGTTACACAAATACGTTTAGATAGTGAGTGAATGTACCATTCAATCGTTTCAAGTATCTTTACACAGTTTTTAAAAAGTCTTTGAGAAGATATTTCTTAAATTGTGGTTTCTCTTGTTATTATCCTTTACAGGATCTATTGAAATATACTGAATCATGATTTATTATTAACTTTCCAGTAAGAAATTATTGTAATGAGTCCCATTTTGCAAATTCCAAATTATACTGACTAAAAAAAATTAAAAGAAAAATAGTCTATTTTGATATTTCATGAATAGTGTTATTTTTCATTCATTATATTATGTAGGTTTAACCTCATTGAGGGAAGTACAAAGGGTGAAGCTTCCTATAAAATATAAAAGTTAAAAAAAAATCTAAAATTAACGTAATGACGATCTTTTTTACGTTTCATGTCATTCTCAAATAATGTAAGTAACATCAATTATTGATTGTTAATTGACTTAAAAATACGTAGTTTATATTAGATAAAGATTAAATTTGTTGATAATTATTTATAGAATGCTCGAAAGAGGTACATACACTCCGAAACGTTGCTAATAATTGTTGAAGCTTTGCTTATTAGATTGGAATATGATCAAATAAAAAAAGAATTGCAATGATATGATTAACCAATCTTCTTATTTGATAATTAAATTATAAATGAACTTAAGGAGTAATATATAAATGTATGTATACTTTATAAGAGTAAATAAGTTTCATTAATTTTCAAGTCGACAAGTAAAAATGATTCAATATTGGTATGTAAAGTTGGACATCACTTATGGATATAGAAAAGCTAAAGCTGTTGGACGGACTAGAAAAAAGATATTTTATCGTTGTGGCGTGAGTTGGCTGTGCCGCCTGGGAAATCGCTAGCAGATTTCCCGGTCGCTCTGAAATTTCCACGCGGCCAAGCGAACCATGTGGTGCATGCCTCGACGAAATTGGTTCTTCAGCAGAAAATGATGTTGGCTTGCAGTAACTGGCATCAGATATAGGGTCATGTATAGAATATAAGAGGTTCCCGTCGATGTTGTTGAAAGGAAACATGAGCAATGTTGTCGTTCAGCACGTCGTCCTCATGTTGTGCACGTCGATGAATTGTGAATTGAAACGAGTGAAAATTTAGGTCACCTTGTACACATATCAAGCTTTGATAAGTGTACTCAGTGTAAATTCTAAATTAGAAGGTTAATTGTTAAATCTGCTCCGCTACGTTTACTTTAAGTTCACTTACTAGTAGTCATAAATAACATGCCTTGTATTATCGATTAATTATAGATCAAAGCAATCTTTTTTTTCGGATTTTAATTGGCTGACGATTAATTTATTTTATTTAGCTTGCTAAAGTTTACATCTTCTCAATATTCTATGATCTAAAGTTATTATTAATTTCCCATTAAGACGTTATTGTAATGGGGTCAATTTTTGAAATTCGTAATTTTATCATATTAAGCAAAAAAAAAGAAGATTACAAAATAAATGGAAAGTTCATCATCAGGGCACAAAGTGCGGCCAAATCCATTTTTTATAAATGTATTTGCAAATAAATTGTTTAAATCAATTTCTTGTAATGTAGGTGTTGAAAGTAATCAATAGATAGACTGTGGAAAGTCAATTGAATTAATTAGCCGTCTCCGGTTGCTGAAATGGAAGCATTCCTGATAGTAGATGGTAGAAAGAAACAGTACAAAGTTTAGAAATTTTTTGTCAATTTTCGTCATATTTTTTATGAGTTTGCTGGGAAGTTTGCTCTTCCGGTGGTTGACAAAGAGAAGTGGGTCTGTCGAAAGGCCGTTTACTTTATGTCACGGTAAGAGACTTGAGATATCGACATCCAAGTATCCAGGTCTTGATGCCGGTTTTATACTTTTCTCTTTCCCGTTTCCCGTCTTCATCTCTTTTAGTCACTGCGCAGGTGTTTTGTGAATAAAAGACTTCTCAAGTCCGAAAATAATCTGATTTACTCTCTCTGTCTCACACTGTCGTGGCTTTCGTTCTACACTACTACCTCGGTAATTAAGAGGGTACCCACAACGTCTCCAACCGGTAAATTGCAGCCGACGAGAGGAGAAAGTGGCACGATATTCTGAACAGAACAAACGCCATTCATTATTCGACATTACATACGCTTCATGCTTCGCAATGAGATCTACGCGTTCATGGAATACGGGCTTCCCCCGTGTGCCATAATATTTATTCTCAAATTTCTACCATTTCACATCGTTATGATGCGGTCGACGTTGACGTGAATTCTTGATTCCTCATTAGTAATGCAAAATCAACTCAGCATTAATACACACAATTTAAGAACGAGTATTCTACCGAGTTGAATGAATTATACTTTAATTGTGAGTTTATTTTGAATTAATTATCTGGCTTTAATGAGAGTATAATTATTTACAATCATAAGTATAATTATAGATAATTATTATCTTTATAATAATGCCACGTAAAATAATCATCAAAAAGTTTTGTAATGAATTTCAACTTCAGAAATATATAATTTATTCTAACTTTTGCTTTATGCACACTGATAGATGAGATTTGGAATAGTAAAGAAGGCTTCTTAACTGTTGTATTAAAAATATTTCTTCAGATAAAATGAAATTTATTCATTATATAAATATTCATGTGTTTATAACCAATGTTTTTTTTATAATTACAAAATATTTATTAACAATTACAAACAATTGATTTTAATAATTAAAAAATCGTTTTTTATCAACAATAAATCTCATCTATCAATGCATAGAACTTGATAATTAAATACTATTTTTTGTTTTTAATTAAATTAATCAAATATTTTTATAGAATTATTAGTATTATTTTCAATTGTGTTTTATGAGCATTAAATTGTTCAAGAATATTTATTGTTTAAAGTGAATGAAAAAGAATTATTATCAGGTGCAGACATTAAATGCCATGGCAACCTTTTAAAACAGTGAAAAGTATTTTTTTCTTCTTTGGCAATGCAAATTGTATGTATTGAAGCGGATTAGCTCCCACCCACTTCTGGAACGTGGGAAATGGCGTATCGTGTTGAGTAGACGCATGGAGGAGAGTATTCAGTCTTTATCCTAGACGATTTATCTTTTATGATAAACTCTTCAATCTAGGATTTTCGTACATCATCGATCACAATAGAGAGTTAGAGGTTTTGTTCTGATAGTCAGACGTTATCTTTGTTA